CTAAAAGACTTCTTTCAGGTCTTTTATAATTTAAGGAATACAAATATAATTGCTAATTTGTCCCTCACTTTTTTTCTTTAGCTCACCTTATCCCTTTTTTGTGTCTTTTATGCAAACAAAATATTTTCTAGATCTTTCCCACAATTTATCGTATCATATAATTTTTTAAGAGTTATATTAAAAAGTTGAGAATATAGAATAATTTCTAGCATGCTGGGAATTTTTAATTGGGGGTTACATTTTTTTTTTGATGAAGCAATCGGGGTTAAGTGACTTGCCCAGGGTCACACAGCTAGTAACTGTTAAGTGTCTGAGGCTGAATTTGAACTCAGGTCCTCCTGACTCCAGGGCCAGTGCTCTATCCACTGCGCCACCTAGCTACCCCCATATTTGTAAAATTAAGTTTATTAATACCAGTGTAGATTGCTATATTACAGTACAACTGTGCAGCATTTTAATCTCTGTATAAACCTTTTCAACTCATTCTCCCAGTTAATTCTTTAGAGATTATTTATATATATATATATATATATATATCAATCATTCCTTCAGACTCTTTGGAGAATTTTTTTTAATAGATTCCAAGTTGGACACAGTTTAATATTTTGTTATGAGATACAATTTCAAAAATGTCCTCAATTTTATTTTTATATTTTTAAAAATACAGTTTTATGGTACTTTACATAACACATTTATTCCCAAATTCCAGTGTGTAAATTATTTTTAAAAAATTACATCCTTTGTTAAAAACTTAGGGGAAGATATATTTTAAAGTAGCTCTGTGGTGAGTTATTTATGACACAAGGGAAATTTTTTTTGTTTTTTTATATTTTTTAATTTCTTGATCTTTTTTTAAAAATTTATTTATTTTTAGTTTTCGACATTCACTTCCACAGGATTTTGAGTTCCAAATTTTCTCCCCATCTCTCCCCTCCCCCTAACCCAAGATGGCATGCATTCTGAATACCCCTTCTCCTAATCTGCCTTCCCTTCTATCTCTCCCCCCCCCTTTTCTTATCCCCTTCCCCTTCTATTTTCCTGTAGGGCAGGATAGATTTCTATACCCCCCTATTTGGGGAATTTTAAGAGACTTCTACCAATAGAGATTTATGTACAATTGTAAAAAAAAAAAATTCCAAAAGGGAGGGAGAAAATCAACAACTATTATGTTAAAATCATTTTCATCAGCTCTATAGCACAGTGTTGTAAAATGTATGTTTGTTTCTGGAAACACTCCCTAAAATTTCATTGTCTTGAAAGGATAAATTTGATATTTTAAATTGAATTCGCCATTATTGGCTTTCTTTACAAGTTTGTAATATGGCATTTTGTCTGTTTTTTGTTATATTGTTGGGAGGGGAAAAGTTACTTACAACACTGTATCTTAAACTTAGAACCAGAGTTTTAAGTAATGAAGCTGTATCCATCAGCCAGTAAGAAGAAAAAATAAAATCCCTTTCTGTGGGAAAACTTAGTGATCTTCAGATTTTTTCCTTTTGTAAATCTTTTTGACCCATATCACTACTCTACCAAGAAAAGATGTTCCAGTATTTTTATGGAATTGTGAGTGGAAAGGAAAGTCCAGCAGCCAAGAAAACAAGCTAATACTATTGATAAGTGGGGGCGGGGATAGAGGAACAAGTCAATAAGCACCCAGAACAGTCCTTCACAGTAATTTGTCACTTAATGAGTATTATTGATTCCCTCACTGTTGAGTGCTATAAGGAGCTGATAACAGAGCTTGGGAGCCGGGGAAAGAGGAAAGCAATAATGACAGTGTGGGAGGAAGAGGTGTGTACAAATGCTACCACCAAACATGTTTGGGATATAACAGCTCTGTTTACCAGTGCCAGAAAACTGCCTTAAAACTCTGCATAAGTATGAGTTATTATTGCTATTACTTCTGTTATTATTGTTCCTGAAAATCTCAGGATATTAGAGACATACTGGTCTAGTATGGTGTTCTCAGTGAAGTTCAAGCAAAAACTTGAATGTGTCTTTTATTTCTCAAATCCCCTACTACATGCCTATACTTTGCAATTTTGATAGTGTCTCAAGTTCCTATCAATACTAGTTTCATACTTCAATTCATAGGTTTTTCTGACAAAATTAAGTAGAATGAGAAGCTGAGACACTGAACATTGGAAAGAAAATAACCTTGCTAAGCTAATATAATTTTTACCCTCTTATGGAAAAAAAAAGACATAGGCCCATGCTTGAATTCATTGTCTCCTTGGGAATCTTTAACATTTACATAGACATTCCAATTTCTTTTACTTGGTGCATTGATGGTTTTTGTTGGTTTGAGTCTAGATGATTAAGACTCAAAGACCACAGATTGCCATCTGTTGATTTTTGGCAGATGGATTCTATATTGGTTCCCCATCAAGTGATTTCTATAGTTTGATTTCATTATTCTCCCCTATAAAGCAGAGGTAACATAGATGACATCTACATTTTGCACTTGAGCTGAGATGATGAACAGACTTGGCAGAAATCCTTGGATTTTAAAATTTGCTCATTAAATAAAATGTTTAAGTTGGGGGAGTACTAGTCTAGGAAATATAATCATTTCAAGAGTAATTCACTGCTCTGACTGCCTAATTACACTAAAATTCCTCTTAAAAAAAAAGCAAGATTGAAAAAAAATATTTCCTTGTAAAACAATACGTACTTTTAGTAAGTGTTAAGTATTGATTTGATTAAGAGCTTTCTGGCCACAGATTTCCATGCTTTATTTCTACTAGGCACCCAAGTGCCACATTTGTTAGGTAGTTGTGTTCTGTTGTTCTGTCTGTTAGCTCCACTAACTGGTCGCTGCTGGTTTCTCATTATGCCTTTCTTGCCATACACATAAGATATGATCATATAGAACCAAAATTTTTAAAAAATTCTCCATTGTAATATTTACTCCTATACAGATAGAACTTGTGATATATCTGTTACAAACATTTTAGTACTGACTCAGAACATGAAAGTGATTAAATTAAAAATATAATTCAAGAATCAGTGCATAGTTCTTAAGTTTAGCTCTGGGTGTATTATCTTCACTTTGCTCATTCTTATAAGATTTAATTTTGTAAAGAAACTTTATAGATGATTTAGCCCAAACCCCTGCAGGCCTGGAGAAGTGGAGATTTACCTTTGGTCAAACAGTAGAGCTGTGATTGCTGAATCATTGTGGGGAGTGGAAGGAAGAATGCCCAAGAATGTCTATTAATTTAACCACACTAAGTAGGGAAAGTAGTAAGGGAGGCAGGATTCAAAAAGCCACAAAACTATGTAAAAAATAGGCATCTATTTTTCCTCTATCATCCAAAGCCCAGGTTGTAGATACTGATTATCAGCCCATGGGATTTAACTCAGAAGGAATGCCTGCTAAAGTGAATAGATGATTTACTTGATTTTGGAAGAAAAATAGTAGATCTTATATTTGGAAGAAGAAACAGTCAAAGTTTACAAAGAGAAGCAAATATGTATAACTAATTATAAGAAAAAATTTTAATTAGCCATTTCCTTATTAAAACAGAAGGTAATTCTTTGCATTTTTTTGGCTCACATTATGAAATTATAGTTTAGCTGGGAAGTAAAGTTAATGGGTCTCAAAACACTTTGTATTTCTCTTAGGCAATTAAAAGATTCTCCTGTATATTAGTAGCTTGTGGAAAAATGTATCACCTCCTTTATTAGAATATCACCTGGGCTACCCATTCTCACTCCTTGGTCCCTGCCCCCCAGATTTGCTATCCCCAAGTTCAAGGGATACATTCACTCAGTACCATAGTTCTTAAGCCCATATCAATGTATTAACTTTTATTCTGGAGGACATAGTTAAAAACAGAGGCATTTAATGAAATAACATAGCAAATAAAGATATAAAGAAGGAACAATAGAATGTTCCTTCTATAAATTTTAGGCGTATTGTTCCCATACATATACTATCAGTACAGAGAGTAATTATGCATAGGGAGACCATTCATGTGTAGCCAAGATATATTTGTAAGGGAGCAGCTTATGCCTCCATTACTTCAGGTCCATTGATGTCTTCTGGTGATACCTTTGCACTACTCTTACTAGACCTGTTCATTATTGGGCACAATGTCTACAAGTAACTGCTGGACATGTCATATCAGCTTTTCTCAGATAGTATCATGGTGGCCGTATATTATGCTCCTTGTTGCCAGTTTCTGTGCCCTTTTCTTTAGGGCCACCACCATATATCTCAGCTCTAGTTCCTGGAGTATAATGTCTGTAATCTCTCCGTTTTGAGTATAGGCTGAGTGCTCTTTGAGTAAAGCCACCACACCTAGCTAATAAGGATCAGTAAGAGTGCACTTAACTAAGATAAAGTATTTTCTTTTGGGCCCCTATGTCTGGGCATAGAGTGCCTGTGTTTCAGATAACTATCTAAATTAGGATTAAACATTCCCAAGATCCTCTCAGGCTTAGCCAGCAAATGAATTGGAGCCAGATCAGAAGTTATGCTAAAGAGACAAGGTCATCGTTCCCTGTCTACTTAGTTTAAATTTCTGCTTATATGTGTACATAAAAGCAGAAATATATACAGATATACATATATCTTATTATATCTGTTAAACATACTAATTATAATATGTATCTGTAAGCATTAAAACTTCTTTGTTTTTGTACTGTATTTTATCCAGCATAAAGCTATTCTCTCTATGTTAAATTTTAATCTCTTGAGTGCAGAAATAGTATAATTTATTTTTACCAGGCAATCAATAAATGTTTATGGAATTATACTTGCTGAATTATTGAAATATAAAATAATGATGATTCAATTTATATGGAACTAAAAGAATTAAGCAAGTACGATTAGATTGTGAATGCATGCCAAAAATGTTTACAGATGCAAAAGAGAACAACGCAAAATAAATGAGATTTCTTGATTCTGTTACAAATGAAATGTTTGAAAATGCCATGTTTGGAACATTAGTAAAACAATATCTGAGTGACTAATAGTGTAATTTTCTCTCAAGTTATTCAGACATTCTGATTGAGAGAGAAGTGTTAATGCAGAAGTACATCCATCTAGTTCAGATCGTAGAGACAGAAAAAATTGCAGCTAACCAACTCCGACATCAGCTTGAGGATCAAGACACTGAAATTGAAAGGCTTAAATCAGAGGTATTTCCCAACCTGTCAATCAATCCCTTCTTATTGTTTCACTGTTATGCAGTCAACTCATCATTATCAGCCTGAGGATTGCCCATAAGATGTTGAAATTCAGACCCTGGCTTTTCTCTGCTACACAGAATGCTAGTGGGCTACAGCTCTCCATATGCTCTGAGTGCTAGCTAGTTTCAATGTTAGTATAAGCAAATTTTCATCAATAAGGTAAATGTGCTTCACATGCCAGTACATGTAATACATTTTGAAGCCAAATAGAATTGACTTTTGGACCGTCTGGGTTTTTGTTTTGGGTTTTTTGATTTCTTTGTTTTGCCTTTGCTTCCTTCCATCAGTGCAGATAATCAGGAGTTGACTGTAGTTTTTTTGGGTTCTGATTTACTCTTCCAAGAGCACTCTACTTGACGTTGTTTATGATTTCAGCCGAAATACAGATGGATAATCAGGAAAGAATCCAATTAGATTAAGAATCTGATTAAAGGGATCTGTCCCTCCCTGAATCCAAATGAGCACAACTTTCTGTCCTTCATATGGGCATATGAGAGAGTGTATTGGCATTGTCAATGCAACTTCTACTGAATGATTAAACAAAGAATGATTCTCCCCTTTGCCTGATAGGTAGAAGGCTCCACAGAGGGTCATTTGATATGTGAGTTTCTTATACTGTGTAGCCCTGGAAGGGGCTTACATTTTGGCAATAGATAAGAGGTTCTTTTACGTCTTACAGAGCTGGGATGGCTTAGCCACAATGCAAGCTCTGTTTCTGTTACATTTCTATGCTTCACCCTTGGTGACCTAGGAGGTCTACCCCTCTGGGGATTCTGAGAGGCATGAAAGAAGAGAAAGCTTCTCCCCTGGCCCTGGCTGGTATGTGGTTGCTATATCCCTGAATCTACGCAAGCAATTGTAGTTCAAAGATATGCACTCATCAGGCTAGCTGAACTGTTTCTGTTCAGCAATGTTAGAACTTGAATGCCTCAATATTTTGGTAGGGTTTTTCTGTTCTTTTCTTTCAGATCTTCTGCTAAAACACCCCCTTGCAAATTCTGTGGAGGGGTTTTACTTGCTGTTCTAAGTGTATCATCTCTGCTATGCAGGGCAATGATGTATGCTGATTCCAGCTGTGATGTGTGATAGCTTCTGTTGTGATAAGTTACAGTCTGTGATCACCGTGTCATTAGAGTTGATGCCATCTTGATTAAGCACCAAAATCCGATATAGCTTAAAAAAATAAACAACAAACCTGCATTTTAAAAGACTATATCTGGCACTATAATTTAAAGCAAAATTACTGTTTTCTTTCTTTGGTGCAGTAAGCTTGAATAGATACTTGTCTGACAGTGGGAGAGGAAGATATTTACATTATGAGATAAACGTGGTGCCAAACATTGTTACCCAGTATTTGCATATCCTAGCATGTTTTCAGGATACTGTATTCTAGTCTGGATTTTGATCTAACCCAAAAATTTTAAGTAGCCAGTATTTTTGTATAGTTAGATAATCACTAGAGTACATTACCAAGTCCCAGTTTTCCTCTTTATCTATCACTTAGTGAAAGAGCATCTACTTAAGTAATGATGGAAGCTTCTTGATAGTAGGGGCCCATGTCATACCTATTCATTCAGTAAACATGAAGCACCTGCTAGGAGTAAGACACTGTCCTAGGTACTTGGGATGCAAAGCATGAAAGCAATGGAAAAAGTACTGGCTTAGGAGTCAGAGAACCTGATTCTGCCACTACCTGTGTGAACTTCATTGAACAAATCACTTCATGTCCCTGGGCCTCAGTTTCCTCATCTGTAAAATGAGGGGGGTGGACTAGATGGCTTTTGAGGTCTTTTTCAGCTCTAGTTTGATGATCCTATGATACCATCAATTTTCCTTTGTATCTCCAGCATCTAGCACAGTGCCTTGCATATATTAGATGCATAATAAACATGTGTTCCATTGAATTAATTTAAATAGTTATTAGGCCATTCGATGGCCTATAAGGACTACTGGTGTCTAAATTGATGTTTATTAGTAGGTCCACATGGGTCCCAAATACATCTGGCATTGAGCTGCATATTAATATCTTTTGTTTTAAAGCTTAAATGAGGGAGCCTAACTGGGTGTTTCCATAGCACTCCATTTCTCTGATGTACACAAGACAGAAATAAATCAGAGATTTTCATGATTCCTTATCCCTCATAGAATCAGGGTGGAGTCTGAAGAACTACAATTCCTTTGGCTGATTGGGAATATTGCTAACACTTGTGTTACACCGCAGTCACCTGTTAAGAATTAGTTTTCTCACTCCCAAATGGAGTCAAATCATTCCTATGTGACCCATAAACTCTTAACCCTGAGAGGTTCTGAAGAATTTGAGGGCATGCATAAAAGAGCTAGATATGATTGGAGAGCCACGATCTAAGTATATTGCTTTAGAGATCCTTAGAGAGCATCTTGGCCAGCATTCCATTCGAAAGAATGTAGATATTTTGCCGAGCCTTTGAGGAAGAGAGGTAGGCCTTTGCCTGATGATCATTAGTCAAGCCTGTGTTCTTTTTTGTGGCCCAGCACACACACACTTCCACTTCCCTTAATCCAGTCACTTGTAGTCCAGGACGAAATCCACGCTTGTCACAGACTTTTAGATGAAATCTCATTCGTGTCGTGTCTGAGTGGTCTGCCCTTCGATGTGTAAGGAGAGATAATCCATGGTGATTGAGATAGAAGTAAACATTCTAAGATGTTGGTTTTGTTTGATTCTTAGATTATTGCTCTTAATAAAACCAAGGAACGAATGCGACCGTATCAGGGCAACCAGGAAGATGAAGATCCGGACATCAAAAAGATTAAAAAGGTAGGTGCTTGGAAGTTTGAAGCCTGAAAGAGGCTATACCAGTGAGTCAATGTGACTTCGGGATGTCGTCCTTCTCGCCCCAGGATCATAGAGGAAAGCTGCAGAGCTGTAAAGGACGTCAGAGGTCATTATATCCAAAACCCTTACTTTGTAGAAGTGAGTCCAGAGAATTGTGTCATGCAGGTAGTAGGTAGCAGAGCTGGGATTCTAACTCAGGCCCCAAGCTCCAAAGTTAGCTATTTTGCACCATAGCTGCCTCTTGCTTTTCTCCAAACAGAGCATAACCCGCATGTTCCCACGAGTAAATGCCAGCTTTACCCTTTAGATAACTTAAGATAGTGCTTCCTCTGTGGAGACGCTCCAGCTTGGTAATTAGAATCTGCCAGCTTCCAGTAATCCCCTCTCTTGAGAAACTCAGGGAGTGATGCCAAAACCTATAATGAAAAAGTAACCCTGTTGGGGTAGCTAAAACAATATTAGGTTCTAAAATCATAGAATGTTAGAGCTGGAAAACATCTTAAAAATCATCTGGCAGCCCCCAGCCTCATTTTACGTGTGAGGGAACTGAGCCCCAAAGAATCTCTCAAAGTCATGCAGTTAGCGAGTGGTAGAGTCAAGAACAAAGATGTCCTCATTCAGTCTAAGACACTTCTCTACTTTCCTTAGTCTGCTGACTTTATTTATCCTTCTCCCTGATTTTAATACTTTGTGAAGTTATTTTTAAAAAGCATTTGCTTATTATGCTTATTCTTTGGGAACACTTAGCACAGTTTTTTCCTCAAGTGTTAGCATATTGAGGATAGAAATGTTGGCTCTAATGTGGGTTTTACTGTAGATATCCAGAGAGACAGTCTCTCTATCCTCCTGTCGTCTGAAATCCCAGAAAGTTGGTGAAGAACCAGATACCACCATACTTTGTGTTTTATAATTATGTTACCTGATTTTAACTAGCCTGTTTAATAAGAGGATTTTGTGGGCAGGCATGGTGGCATACTGGGAAGGCTGAAGTTGGTGGATCACTTGAGCTTAGGAGTTCTGAACTGCAGCTGATTGGGTGGGGGTCCACACTAAGTCTGGCACCAGGAGAGTGAGCCTCTGGGAGCAGTGGGTCACCAGGCTGCCTTGGGAGGGCGTGCACTGTCTCAGGTCATAAAGGGAGGAATTCAAAACTCCCATGCCTGTCACCAGTGGGATCAGGCCCATGAGTGACCACTGCACTTCAGCTTGTTTTTTCAGGACTTCTTTTGCTTCTTTACTGATTCTTTTGTTCAAATGTTTCTAACCTCAGGCCACTGGACAAACTCTTCTTAGCTACCAGTCAATAGCATTTAAGTCAGTCATGAGTAACGTAAACTTAAATTCATGTGTTCATCATCCTCTGGGTAACACTAAAGAAAGATTATTAATAAGGATTGATCAGTTTAAACATTGATCCCTCTTTGCACTGTCTAGTTATCCTGGACTACTTGCTTTTCCTCACATATGATATGCCATCTTACATCTCTGCCTTTTCACTGGCTGTCCCTTATACCTGAAGTGCTTTTCTTCCTCACCTCCACCTCTTGGAATCCCTTATTTCTTTCAGTGCTCAGCTCAAGGTCAACCTTCTCCACAAAGCTTTTTCTTATTCCCGCAGTTGCTATGCCTTCCCTTCTAAAGCCATCTTGTATTAATTATGTATGTGTATATGTGTGTATGTATATGTGTATGTATATGTACATATACACACATAGATATTCTGTATATACTTATATTTTGTATATCTACATTGTTTCTCCAATTAAAATGCAGGCCCCTTGTGGGCAGGCACTGTTTCACTTCAGTCTTTGTGTCCCTAGCACTTAATGCTATGCTTTGCTCATTGTAGGCACTCAATTTTTAAATTAATTAATAGGCTAAAGATATATTTTATAGACTCATCATAATTTTTGACTATGTTTTATTCCAAAAATTTGAGTATAAGTTATTTTTCAAAATTCTAAATGCATTTTCCCCTAAGAACAATATTATAAAAGATCATTTTCCAGGCTAGCCTTCAAAGACCCATATAACCTCAGATGTATCTGAAATATAATAATATATGGTGTTTGCCAGAAATAATAAAATGTATTATATATTTTTATTAATAATTAATTTATTTTTAGTTTTCAACATTCATTTCCATAAGATTTTGAGTTTTAAATTTTCTTCCCTTCCCTCTTCCCTCCCCCAACACAGTGTGCAATCTGATATAGGCTCTACTTAGACATTCAGATTAAGCATATTTTCCCATTAGTCATGATGTAAAGAACAATTAGAACTAATGGGAGGAACCACAAGAATGAAGCGATAAAACAAAACAACAAAGGAAAAGGAGAGCAAATAGTATGCTTCTATCTGCATTCAGACTCCATAGTTCTTTCTCTGGATGTAGATAGCATTTTCCATCCTAAGTCTTTTGGAGTTGTCTTAGATCCTTGCATTGCTGGGAAGAGCCAAGTCTATCAAAGTCAGTCATCGCACAGCGTACCTGTTACTGTGTACAGTGTTCTCCTGGTTCTGCTCATTTCACCCAGTATCACTTCATTCAAGTCTTTCCAGGTTTTTCTGAAGTCTGCCTGCTCATCTTTTTTATAGTGCAATAGTATTCCATTATATTCATATAGTACAACTTGTTCAGCCATTCCCCAATTGATGGGCATACCCTCAATTTCCAATTCTTTGTCACCACAGGAAAAGCTGCTATAAATATTTTTGTACATGTGGGTCCTTTTCCCATTTTTATGATCTCTTTAGGATACAGACCTAGAAGTCATATTGCTGGGTCAAAGGGTATGCACAATTTTATAGCCCTTTGGGCGTAGTTCTAAATTGCTCTACAGAATGGTTGGGATCAGTTCACAACTCCACCAACAATGCATTAGTGTTCTAATTTTCCCACATCTTCTCCAGGAATTTATTATATTTTAACAAATAGGAAAAGACCTCTTATTGATTCGAGAGTTCTCTTGAAGTTAGCTATCTAGATTCTTCAAAATCAAGATAAAAATTTGTACAAAAAATTAAGAATAATTATGAAAAAAGTGTACAATTGAAACAACTTACCTTAAATAAGCAAGTATTTGAGAATAAAAAATGGAAAATGGATAACAGAAAAAACATTGATACCAAGTATTAATAATTTTATCCAGACACTTAACCAATGTAAGTTAATTGCCATAACAAGGAGACTGAGAGAGTGCCTTATTCAGCAAACATCTGACCTACTTGCCAAAGGCAACACCAGATTAGATTATAAACTTGCTTGTGGAATCTTATGAAGATGGATGATGAATGATTGTAAACAATATTATCTCCTAAAGCAGAAAGATATAGGGAGGGTAAAACCAACTTAAAGAAAATTTGACAACGTATCCAATTAAATAAAATCATCCCAAGGGCATTCAAGAATGAAAATGGAAGGAAGACTACAAAGAGAAGAAAAATGGGAAAGATTTGTAAAAATTATTTTAGCAACTATTTTCTTCATCATGGACAGCAGAACCAACACACTGTCACAGTCTTGGAGGTGCTTATAGAGGAGAAAGAAATGATACTAAAGAGAATGAAGATAGGAAAAGTTGCTATCCTAGGCCACGTCTAGAGAGGAGATCCATGCCAGAGGCAACACAATTGTGAGGGTATCGAAAAAGCAATATACAGTATCTTAAAGGGGGAAAGATACCAAATGTGTGTGTGAGGGAAACTCAGATGTTATGAATCTGAGAAAGGTGGCTGACATAACCTAAATAATTACCAACCTATATCTCTACTCTTTATACAAAATCTTCATACACAAGTTGAAGGAATCCTCAAGGAGAATATAGTAGGGAGCATGCAGCCTTTCAAAAGTGATATGCAGCAAAGGACCATGTCTTTACCATCTTATAATTAAGTAAAGATGTGGAATATAAGAATCCATTGTGCTTATTTGTTATGATTATGAAAAAAACACTTGATTTGGTGGGATAAAATGTTGTGTTACAGACGCTTTTCCAACAAGGCATCTCTGACCCATACATGAAAATCATTCAAGATTCCTTGAAACATATAATGGTGGAAATAACCTTGTTCAACAATCTTTTGATTATAAACATCAAATGAGGCATAAAATAGGGAAGATATGCATTTGTTAAAGGTATTTTGCACTGTAATAAAGATGATCCAAAATAGACTACAGGTAGAAGAGGGATTTTCTGTATATGGTGAAGTCCTCCTGATGCTCGTGTTTGCCGATGACATCTTACTGATTACATCAAGCCTCCAAACACTGCAGAATCTTCTGAAGGAGATTTGTAATGACTCAGAGGAGTTTGGTCCATTACAGCTTATGGATTTAGAACTGGAAGGAAAAGGTCATTTAGTCCAGTCCCTGAATTTTATATATGAGGAAACTGAGGACCAAAAATGGGTAAGTGAGTTGTCCAAGGTCACACAGGTAGTAAACGATAGAGGCAGGATTTGATTCTAGGTCTTCAGATTCCAAAGCTAGTACTCCTTCCATTCAACCATACTGTGGGTGAAGAATATCTGTTGCCCAGATTTCAATATGTATTTGGATGGATACCCTATTGATTTTTTCCATCAGTACATTGATCTAGTACATAACAGCATGGATAGGCAGCTAGGTGGGGCCCAAAATTGAACAGAAGGAGAGTGATCTGGATTGCTTTTGAGAAGTTGCAAAGCTTCTCTACTGACCTTAAAATTCCCATGAGAAAAAGAGTTCATTTTTTCTTTTAATACTAACATTCTCCTTCTTTTGCTCTATGGCAATAAAACATGGAATATAATTGTCTTCAAAGATCAGCCTCAGTTGTCTGCTCTGTAAAATGGGGATAATAATAATAATAATAATGCCTATGTCCCAGGGTTGTTGTGAGGCTCAAATAAGTGCTTTGGAACCTTAAAGCACTCTATAAATGCTGTCTATTGTAATTTAAATCTTACTTTGAAATTTTTGCCTTTTAATTTTTTTTTGACAATTTACTCTTATCTCATTAAATGTAAGACTTTTTTATAATTTGATTTTTGAATTAAAATTAATTTAAATGAATTTAAAAAACTTTTAAAATTGACTTTGTTATCCACTCAGTTCCAAATCCAACTTCTCTCTGCAGTTGGATTGTTTCAACCTACCAGTGTGAAGATGATTTACAGATAAGTTAGTGTCTACTTTAAAAGATGTATATACAAGGTAATGTAAATTAAACTGAAAATTTGAAATTGATAGTTACAGAAATTCCCTGTAAATTTGTTCACACATCATATAAAATTTCTAGTATGATGCTTTTTATTTTTTAAAAATTGTAGTTGATTTTTTGGAGGCATGATGATTTCTTTGCATATGTGAAAATTTATAGTGTAGTGCTAAAACCTTCAGGCAAGCAAAAGTATTATAGCACAGGAAAAGAGGGAGTTAGTTTAAATAAGAGAGAATAGAGTCCATGTGGACAAAATAATGAGAAAAAATAGAGAATGTGTTGAATCAACAGTTATGCTTAAAAAAAAGGTTCGGTAGTGGTGAGATGTTTTCGTTTTAATCTGTATTTTCAGCTTAACAAAACTGTTACTTAGATACACCATAAATCTGATTACAAAATTTGTTAAAACTTGAAATGTAACTTGAGAAATCATCTTGCATAATTCATACAGGGAAACTGTGACCAAGAGATATAAAATATCTTGCCCTAGGACAGGTCTACCTAGAATCCAGAATTCTTTGCCATATGTGACATTGCCTAGTGAATTGAGGTTATTGTTAAAATATCACTATCATCGCATGATATTTTTTCCAAAACTTGCTGTGTTAATGATTTTAGATAAGGGGAGTCTCTCTTCATTCATGAGTGAAGAATATATTAAAGGACTCATATATGCAACTAGTACGGTGATATCGTCTCCTATAGTTAGCTTAATAGTAAAATCTTTTATACTCTCTTCTTGAAATTTTAATAGATGGGAAATAAGAATAGCTCAAAAAGGATTTTGCAATGAAAGTGGGCATCAAAACAACATAAGTTAATAATAACTGACATTTATATAGCGCTTTGAGATTTGCAAGATCCTTTATTTATATTATTTTCTCCTCACAACAGTTGTGTGAGGTAAAGACTGCAGACATTATTATCCCTGTTAAGCAAATGAGGAAACTGAGGTTGACAGAGGTTAGATGACTTGCCCAGGGTGATTCAGCTAATGTCTAAGGCAGGATGCAAATCCAGTTCTCCCTTACTGCAAGTCTAGTGCTCTGACTGCTACATCACCCTGCCTCTAAGAAACATTAATTGTAGGGAGACATTGGGAACACTATCATCATCTTAAAGGGACCTAAGAGATTGGTCTAATAATTTAATTTTTCAAAGGAGAAAACACAGTTCTAGGGACATTAAGTGATTTATTTGGGGCTGCACAGCTTTTCACACTAAAATCCAGAACAAAAAAAATCTCGACTTTTAGATGAGTGTTTTATTTACTTTAATATACACACTTTAATCACAGGGTAAGTAGTCAGTTTTTATGACATATTCTTTGGTCATCACCTAGCATGTATGTGGTTTGGAGGGTTTTTGTTGATTTCTCTCTGTCTTTCTGTCTGTGTCTTTGTCACTGTCTATCTCTCTTTTTCTCTCCTCTATTCACTCCCTCTCTTTCCCTCCTGTTTCCCTCCCTCTTCTCTCTCTCTGTCACTGCTTTTCTCTGTCTCTCTGTCTCTCTCTATTTCTCTATCTCTGTCTGTCTCTGTCTCTCAGATTGTAATTTCATCAGTATGGGGAACTCTTAGTGTGGAAATTCCTGCCATCAATGCAGACCAATAGCTTATCTAACTTATAATCTTTATATGATTGTCTCTGGCACTGAGACATCAAATGACTTGCCTCTAATCACTTAAGTGCTATCCATGACTTACTCCAAGGTCAACCCTCTTTACTACCAAACCTCTCAGCATTCAGACATATGTGGGTACAATATATAAAATGTGTTAATCTCTAGTGACTTATTCCTGCTGTTAAAAAGTTCAGAAATAAATGATCACTGGCCTTCTAAACAAGTCAACCACAGGAATTCTCCAGGTCTTATGGGAATGAGGGTATCTGATCAACATAATTTCCATACTTTAAAACATTTACTTTTGCATGCAGCACAAATTATTGCCTTGCTTAACCAGTCAAAATGCTGTTAACTCATGTAGATTTATTTCTCTTTGGCTGTTCTCTTTAGGTTCAGAGCTTCATGCGAGGATGGTTATGTAGAAGAAAATGGAAAACAATTGTTCAGGATTATATCTGTTCTCCCCATGCTGAAAGTATGAGAAAGAGAAACCAGATTGTTTTCAACATGGTTGAGGCTGAATCAGAGTATGTGCATCAGTTGTATGTTCTTGTTAACTGTTTTCTACGCCCTTTAAGAATGGCTGCGAGCTCAAAGAAACCTCCAATCACCCATGATGATGTCAGCAGCATTTTCCTCAATAGGTAAGGTTTGGGATTATTTGGTTCACTTGATTATGTGAATGATAAAAATAACAATAACCACCAGTCCAATGGCCTGTTTTTAAGGTTCTTTTTTTTTTCCTCAGAAGACTAGATTCTTAAGTTCCTGTGGCCTGTTATTTTCCTTAAGATGTTAAAAGTGAATCCCGTCATCATTGCCCATTCATTTTTCTTCTTCATCATTTTCTCACATGGCTTCTGCATACTTTTAATCATCTTCACAATTTGACATTCAGCTTGTTGCTTTCATTCTTGGAGGGGTCTGGTCACCCCCAAAGCAAGAAAGGATGGGACCTTTTTCTTTTTTTCATCCTTTTTTAATTTAGTATTTTATTTTTCCTAGTTACATGTAAAAACAGTTTTAACATTGGTTTTTAAAACTTTGAGTTCCAAATTCTCTCCCTTCCTCCCTCCTCACCGCCCCCCATTGAGAAGGCAAGCAATTCAATGTAGATTATACATGTATAGTCATGCAAAACATTTCCATATTAGTTATGTTGTGAAAGAAAACATAGACAAAAAAAACTCGAGAAAAATAAAGTAAAAAAAGAGCATGCTTCAATTTGTATTCAGACACCATCACTTCTTTCTGTGGGGATGGATAACATTTTTCATCATAAGTCCTTCAGAGTTGTCTTGGATCGTTGTATTGCTGAGAATAGCTAAGTCATTCCCAGCTGATCATCTAATACATTGCTGTTACTTTATACACAATACATTTCATTTTGCATCAGCCCATGCAAGTCTTTCCGGGTTTTTCCGAGAACATCCTGCTTATCATTTCTTATAGTACAATAATATTCCATCATAATCACATACTGCAACTTGTTTAGCCATTCCTAAATTAATGGGCATCTCCTCTATTTCTAATTCTTTGCCTCCAGAAAAAAGTCGCTATAAATATTTTTGTACATATAGGTGGGACCTTTTTTTAAAGTTATATACAAAAGAATATACACATGTAGAGCCCATGCCCATTGGAGTACTTGATGCTCCTGAGAATTTCCTCAGATTTCATGGCAGAGCTGTCATTTGAATATATGCAGTAAAGAAAACAGCTGGGAACCACAACGACCACTTGGCACCTGTTGGTTTCAGAGTACTGTGTTGGGCACTGGAGGAAAAATTTAGGCAAGACCTAGCTTCTGCTTTCAGAGTGTTGACATCAATAAGACTAATCCTTATTTGTCTTTGTTTTTTTTTCTGGAACTTTTTAAAGTTAGAGTTTCAACCCAGTAACCTGGAGGCTCACACTCACATTTTCTTTGCTTTGCTTTTTTTTTTTTTTTCCTATTATGAGACCCATATTCCTCTTACCAGAAATGCACACAAGAGAGGCGAAGTTCACTTGCACAGAGTTGGAGGGAAGATTAAGGTGGGGACGATGAAGGATATCAAGAATCCTTTACAGCCTCCTCATGTCCAGGGGGCTGCAATTTGGAGAACATTGATTGAAATAATGGGCCAGGCTATTGGCTAAGACTCCCTACTACTGATGCCATCAAAACCCATGCTGCTGTAGCTCTCTGTTTCCAGGGATTCGTTTAAATTGAATTGCCTTACTTCAAGTTTGAAAGGCCAAGCTTAGTACATTGTTTAAATTCACAGTCTAGACAAGGTACACCTACATCTGAAAGGTATTGCTGAAGGCAATTTGTGAGTTAGGTCATGCTTCAATCTAGTTTTCCCCCAGAACCTGATCTCTCAGTAGAGATTTGAAGAGACACTTTCAAACTCAGAGCTGTGTGTGCTTGTTGCTTTTTTAAAATGAGTCTATCTTTCTTCGTTGTCTTTGAAATTGAAGTGTTAGGCAGGTTAATTATTTGGCATTTCCAGACAATATTATCTCACTTTTAAAATTATTCTCATTCTGATGCTTAAGCATTATGTTGTGAAATAAATATAGACTACATCTTGTTATAACAAATGCTATTATATACTTAACAGCACATATAAAAATATATAATATATGACATAAATATATATCAGTAGTAGTACCAATAATGTGTTGATAAATGTTTAATAACCAGTTCCCTGGGAAAAAAATGTACCCACGCTTTTAAGTTTAATCATGTTATTAACATTTTCTCTATCTCTGAAGTCTAGAGAGTCAATAAAGCAATAAATCAAGCCCAGATTTATAGTATTGGCAATTTCTGAGGTATAAATGCTCATTCTGAAATTTTAATTTTTTTTTAAAATTTTTAGGCAATTGGGGTTAAGGGACTTGCCCAGGGTCACACAGCTCGTAAGTGTCAGGTGTTTGGTCTGAGGCTGGATTTGAACGCAGGTCCTCCTGATTTCAGGGCCAGTGCTGTATCCACTGCGCCACCTAGCTGCCCCGATTCTGAAATTTTAATAACTGACTTTCAAGAGTCAGTTCAAGCTGGCTCCAATACACCCCTGAGTAGTTCCATTCAACAAAAATTCTGGAAAGAGCGGTAACTTTAGACAACTTCTCAGTGTTTGTTATAATGGGATTTGAGCTATTACAGATCACGTCATTCACTGAGAGAGATCCTGGTTTTCAAAAGGATCTATACTTTCTCTTACCTGTTTGGCTTCTAGAAGAGTTAACTTTTGGAATCCGACGCAGCTCAACCAAAGAGTACTCCTGTACGGTTCTTGATGTCCTTCAAACTCCCTGTGACCTCATTTTGGCTTTTTCTTGGTAAAGACGCTGGGATGGTTTGCCATTTTCTTCTCCAGCTTATTTTACAGATGAGGAAACCGAGGCAAACAGGGTGAAGTGACTTGTCCAGGGTCACATGGCTAGTAAGTATCTGAGGCCAGATTTCACCTTACAAAGATTAGTCTTCCTGACTCGAGGCCCAGCACTCCATTCATTTCACTACCTCACTGCCCCTAATGAGGAGAAAGTGAACCTGTTTTGTAGTCTGGGTACTAAACTTAGTTAACTCTTAAAAGAGCACAAATTTGTTCTTCAGTCTCTGTTTTATTGCCTTTCTATGGGCTGTATTCCTCAAAGGACATTTTTTTTTCATGTCTTTCTTTGGGATGCCAATGCTAAGTATAGTTCTTCCATATTCTCTGCTGTAGGCTTTTTTTCCCCCTCTCCTAGGCACAGCTCAATCCTACTTCAGCCAGCAGACCTATTTCTCATTATAAATGTAGAACCAGACCCTAAGAAAGAAAACTATGCTTTTTTGTTTGTTTTTTAACTTGCTAGTCATTAATTGAAATATTCTACCAATAAACAATGGGTAGATATCTCATGTATTCCCAGTAAGAAAAGAGGATGTAAAAGAGCTTCCAGTACACAAAACTTAAAAATTCCCAAACTTAAAAATCTTATACCATCACCCAATTTTAGAAGCCCAGCTCATCATTTTCCTTTATGTTTTTGAGGTATCATTTTTTAATGGAGGCTTTTATGAACCATACACCTCCTTTAGGGTCTATGTAGGGAGCCATGGAGTCAGCTCAGGAATATAGTAAGAGCATAATAGATACGTGTTTACTTGATTTATGCCCATTTAGAAGTTCTAAGCTGCCAGGGGAATAATTCAAAGGTAAACTTTCTATAGGAACTAAGCCAGTTTGCAAATCACACATTCTACCCCTTCTGTTTTTTTTTTTTAACAGTGAAACAATCATGTTCCTCCATGAAATATTTCATCAAGGACTAAAAGCAAGGATTGCCAATTGGCCTACTTTAATTTTAGGTAAGTGCTTGTTTGTGACAAAGTTTTCTATTTACCGTAAGATTTGTTTTTTAAAAAAGGACATCTGTGTTCTTCACCTAAAGTACTACTCTGTTCGCTCATTGTGGTATAGTGCTGACCCTGCATTCTCAGAGACCATGCCTGCAAAACTGAATGGAGCTCTGGCAGGTTAAACCAAGGCAGAAAGACTGTGTACTGCAGATTGTACATCTCTTGTCTGAGGGCCAGCCCGACCAGATTTGGAAAGGCTTATTCCAACCTCCATTCCTCCCCGGGAGGGTTGCCCATGAGGTTATTATTTCTTTTGACCTCCACAGTTCATAGGATCAGAGGTCATAGAGTTAAAGAAGGGAACTTAGCCATACATGTAATAAGTTGTAGAGCTGTGTTACAAGAAAATTATCTAGTAAATGGGCCAACGGGGCAGGGGAGTGAAGGGAGCCACCCTGCCTGCTGTAATTACTTGAAATTTTGAAGGTTTCTTATACAGTGGCATCTTTGTCCTTCTGTTCAGTTTATCAGACATTTCTTCAGTATGTACAGTACCTACTCTAAGACACTATGCTAGGCTTTAGGGATGTAAAGATAGATACAATCCAAGTTCCACTCTGAAGGAGCTTACAATTTAATGGGAGTGAGGGAGAGGACAAGTACACAAAGAACTGATACTAGGGGAGAATGAGGTCAGTCAGCCAATAAACATTTATTAAATGCCTGTATAGGGAGAGATTACTTTCCTCTGAGAGTCAGGAGAGGCTTTGTGGATGAAACACTTTGTGGATGAGCAGTGGATGAGTATAATCTGAGTTGGGCCTTGGAAGAAGGAGCATAGCAGTGTAGTGCAGAAAGGGATTTTAGAGGCCATCTGGTCCAGTACTCTCCTTTACATATGGAGATGCTGAGAACCAAAGGGGTTGAGTGACTTCCCCAGGGTCACACAGGTGACAGGTAAATGGCAGAGACAGTATTTGAACCCAGGTCTTCTGACTCCTGATCCAAAACTCTTTTGGATTACACGTCCCATGTAGATTACACCTCCATTACACTTCTCCAAGGAAAGGACTTTAACAAATGAGATGGTGGGGGAGTCCATTTGAAGCAGGGGAAATAGAGGACAGTGAGAGCAAAAGTAGAGGGAGAGAAAAGGGCTAGACAAAAATGGAGTATAATCCAGTTTGGAGCATGGCGTATGTGAAGGAGGGTAGAATATATGGCAGGTAGGTTGAGCTGTATTGTGGAGGGTCAAATCAAATAAACACGCATCTATTATGCTCTTACTATATTCCAGACACTGCTGCTAGGAATGCAAATATCAGGCTCAAGAAAGATAGCCCTGCCCATAAGGAGCTTACCTTCTAATGGGGAAAGATGATACATAAAAGGAAGCTAAACAATGGGGAAGTACAGAATCAAGAGTGTAAGGAAGACATGGTTGGCTTAGCCAATTTCCAATTTCCTAACAAATTCCAATTTAAGGAATTGAGGAGTATTCTGTAGTATATTAGTGTTTTGTAGTATTTGTAGTATATGTAGTATATTAGGAAGATTACTTGAGCAGTTTAAAAGGGATTAGATATTCAGTGAACTTCATTTATGATTTCATTGGTGTGGGTACTCTGTCACCACAGCTGCTCATGGCTTCCACTTAGTTCCCCTCTCCCCCACAGAGAAGAGTGAATGAGAATCAGTGCACTGTAGAAGGTCAGGGACCTGAGAGTCTTGGCAGCTGGTCAATCCGTGCTGAAAGAATTAGGGCTGAGAGAATTAAGGCAAAGAGAATATGCTTAAGATTTAGTCAGAGTAGAGGGGAGGGCAAGTGTGTCTTACTGCTGCCCTCCCCCTCTTATGCAACAATATCAGTATTTGGGGAACAATGATGAGAAGATATTAATTGGAGGTAGCCTTCTGACACTTACGGGAATCAGTCATTTAGAGGGCTTCTGATAATCTCTTCAAAACAAGTGTGTCTGGGACGCACTAAGAGAACAAGAGTACTAAGTACTTTTAGTAAGTAAAGTAGTATATTGTGCCAAAGAGGTCCTTAGGACTGTGCTGCACTAACGTAGCCTTTAAGAACACAAAGTCATCTCCATGTTACAGTAAAGTATTCGAGTAGAACTGAGTAGAGGAGATATTTAATTGATTTTGGTCCTATTTCCCTTATCATATTGTAAGACTTTTTAGGGAATAAATTATTTAGAATATGTATCTCAGAATTGCCAAGCGTTGCGCATGTGTTCTTTGGAGCATTGGATACATACTTGTTGACCCTCATGGATGAATGTTGAGTCTATGGATGAAGTATTGTGTGTTGTCACAATTTTGTAGAGATTATAATTAAATTTCTTTGGTAGGGATGAGCATCTCTGTTGAAAGACTGAGTCTAAATAGTAAAGAAGATAGTGTGGAGGAAACAATACTCGATTTGGATTCAGAAGTTGTTTGATCATTTCAGTCACGTCTGACTCTTCGTGACCCCATTTGGGGTTTTCTTGGCAAAGATACTGGAGAGGGTTGCCATTTCCTTCTTTAGCTCATTTTATAAATGAAGAAACTGAGGCGAACAGGGTTAAGTGACTTGCCCAGGGTCACACAGCAAGTAAGTGTCTGAGGCTGGATTTGAACTTGTAAAGATGGGTCTTCCTGACTTCAGGCCTGGCGCTCTGTGCACTATGGCACCACCTAGCTGCTTCTGTTCAGAAGACCTGGGTTCAAATGTCAACTCTCCTACTGACTACTTGTGTGACCTTGAGGAAGTTCCTTCTCTGCTCCAGGACTCAGTTTCTTCATCTTTAAAATGAAAAGGTGATATTAAGTGATTTCAAAGGTTCTTTCCAACTCAAAAAAATCTCTAAATCCTATGATCTGTAATCTTCATCAGCTAGGCTAAGCACATTTCCCTAATATTAAGCCTCCAAGTGAGAGTTTCTTCACTTGAAATCTATGAACATGCATTTTGAATGTTTTGATCATTGTATTTCATCATAATTGGTTTCTTTTGCAATCCTATGCATTTAAAAATATCATTCCTAGAAAGGGTCCATCAGCTCCATTAGACTGCCAAAAGGTCTGTAATAATAGTAATAATGATGATGATAACAATAATGGTTAGCATTTATATAGGACTTTAAGTTTTGTAAAGCACTTTATAAATATTATCTAATTTTATCCCCACAACAACCTTGGGAAATAGTTGCTGTTATTATCTCTATTTTATAGATGTTGAAACTGAGACTGTGGGAGATTAAATTAGTAGCCTAAGGTCACATAGCTATTAGATGTCTGAACCCAGATTTGAACTCAGGTCTTCCTGACTTCAGGTCCAACACTCTTACCACTATGGCATCTAGCTGCCTCATGATATGCCGTGACATAAAAAAGGTTGAAAATATTTTCATTGAGGCAGAGTCTAGGCATTAAAGCCACTTCTGTGATTTCTTCTCTTTCTCCCTCTCTTTCACCACTTTCCAACCAACAGTCTAGAACAGTGCTAAAAGTATAGTTATCCTTCAGAATGCTGCCATATCCTTGGCTTCTCTTCGGCTGAATCAATCCTGCTCTGTGGACATTTGGAGCATTAATCTTTCTGTGCTTTGCTAAATCTGAGATGATTATTTTTCCTTAGCTGGAGTCTTGTGCCCACTGTCTATGCCTGGGTGAATGTGTCCATGGAGTCATCAATTAAATATTTGCTAAGGGTTAACTCTAGCCCACCCCTGTGTCTAAGGCTCATTTAATCATAGACTTATGACTCAAAGGAACTTAAAAGAGCATCTGTTGTGGGGTTACAAACAAATTGAAAAAGGTGTTAAGACATGGTCCTTGACGCTAAAGAGTTAACATTATTGAAGAAGTTTTTTGCTAAAATGACATATTTTCTGATTTTTTTCAGCTGATCTATTTGATATTCTACTACCAATGCTTAATATTTATCAAGAATTTGTCCGCAATCATCAATACAGTCTTCAAGTGCTAGCCAATTGTAAGCAAAACAGAGATTTTGACAAACTCTTGAAACAGTATGAGGCCAACCCTGCCTGTGAAGGGAGAATGCTAGAAACTTTTCTGACTTATCCCATGTTTCAGGTAAGTTATTCAGTAGACATTTTTTTATAACTCACTGAGGGTAACCTCAAAGTCAGAAACAAAATAAAGATGGTCACTCATGAGGAGTTGTTAAATCTGCAGGTCAGGGGCAGCTAGATGGCACAGTGGATAGAGCACTGGTTCTGGAGTCAGGAGGACCTGAGTTCAAATCTGGCCTCAAATGCACAACACTCACTAGCTGTGTGACTCTGGACAAGTCACTTAACTCCAATTGCCTCACAAACAAACAAAGAAAAAAACTTTAAATCTACAGGTCAGACAAAGTGTTAGTCCTCACTCAGTGCCAGAATTCAGAATACAGGTGCATCCTAACCTTCAGAAAACCTAATATATAAAAATTTTAATTTGAAAAATGGCTAAATAATATAATAATAATAGCTAGTATTCATATGTACTTTAAGGTTTGCAAAGTGCTTTATATAGGTTAACTCATTTGATAAATGAGTGATATTTGCATTGTGAGAGAATTTTTACTTTATCAAAGAATTAAACAGACTTTCTTTAAATAGCTCACCTTAATGTAATTTTTAAAATTTGATTTGTTTCACATGAATTATATTTCTACGTGAATTGAAATGAATTATGATATATATGTGAACACATACCCACACCCACATATCAATTATTGTAAAATGGGGGTATATCTAACTAGGGAAATGGGCCGCAGAGGCTGCATAACCATTGGGAGATCCCTTTATGCTCTTATTTGCTCTTTCTGGGAAGACCTGATTTTCCCTGAACTGTCTCTGGAATGGTAATGGGACATCTGGGAAGAGCAGTACAAAAGTTACCGTAGCAGCCACAGATAAGATGACACTGGAATGGTCCTGCAGCTGATGGTGACTGATGAGATCTGTTTTTTCACAGGCACTCTCTGTGGCTGAAGGATCACTTACTTCCTAGCACAGTGACCTCAGCCATTAAGGCCCATTATAGCTCCTGCCCTCCAGTCTCCAATTCAACTCTCAGATACTCTCTGCTGCATTCTGAGAAGGCCGAAATATGACTTGGATTTCCTGGTCTTCTGAGGAGTGTGGTTGACCCTGTTCTTTTGGAAGGGCAGTGAAGCTTTCCCATTGTGGTGTTCATGGCTGCTTTGGGCTAGGCCTAAAAGTTATCACATGGCAAAACAATTTCATGAATCGTCTATACCAAGGGTAGGGAACCTTTGACCTCAAGTCCACGTGTCCCTCTAGTTCCTCAAGTGCGACCCTTTGACTGAATCCAAACTTCACAGAACAAATTCCCTTAATAAAAGGATTTGTTCTGTAAAACTTAGACTTTAGTCAACAGCCCGCACCCAATACTATGGTAACTGCAATGTTGGCTGTTTGATCATCTCTAACAAGCAGCCATCTCCTATATTGCCAAATGGTTTTGTAGTTTCAGAAAGAAACAGTGATTTGAATCCTGATTATTTCCCTTAAAGCATAAAGTCTGCATCTTTGTGGGAACCTTGGGAAAGCTTAGAGCCCAGTTTCCTATCCCAGAGACAAACTGTGCTGGAAAATCAAATGAATGCATGTGAAAACCACTTTAGTACCATGAAACTTTGTTTTAATGGTGGCTTCCCACTCCCACCCCCCCTCCCCCTTTTGTGGCACTGAATTTTTTGAATTCTGCCTTTGTTGGAAAACTGCAAAAACAATTCAAGTTAACATTATAATTTTGTATGCTCTAAGGACTTAGAGTAAAATAAACTTAAAAATCAAAACATTGTTTATATTTATCAAGGATGGTAACTATAGGTCTTATCTCATTGGGGGCACACTTTCTGGGGAAAAAAAGCAACAACCCACATTTGAATATAAATTGCATGCCCCAGAGTTTTTAAGATTTTGTGTATCATAAACCTGAAAACATATCCTTGAAGAAATATCAATGTGTAAGAAATCTGAATTGTTTCTGTTGAATTTTATTGGAATTCTCCAAAACGAAACCTAACAATTAGCATTAGGTTTTCCCAACAGAACAAAGCTCTGTGTATTTATCTAATTATTTTGCAGTTTAATCTATCTGAGATTGCATTTGGGCCTTTAGCGATTAGATTTAGGTAATAATGAAACCCCTCTGTCTGCACAGATCTCTCCAAATAATGTGAATGTGCAAAGGCAGAGTTATGAGAAATGAATGGAACACCTCATAATTGGGCCTAATTATCCTCCCCACTGGCTATAGCTGTATTTAAGAAATGCCAGAGAAATCAATCTCTTCCAGTGGATTACTCTCAGACATCTTTGCAGCATGGCGGAGATAGCCACGTTTGAGCCATTAGGAAATTGGTAAGATTGAATGAATTTGTAGTAGCTAGGTTGCGCAGTTGTAGCACTGGCCCTGGAGTCAGAATGACCTGAGTTCAAATCCAACCTCCAAAACTTGACACTTACTAGCTATATGACCTTGGGTAAGTCACTTAACCCCAATTGCCTCACCTTCCCCTCCCCACTTCCCCATCTCCTGCAAAGAAATAATAAAATAATTAATTAATTCAATGAGTTGAATTCAGGGAGTTAAATGGAATTGCTTGGACCTTGCTCTTGCCCAGGAATTTCCTCTCATTAGCAGTAAACCTAGGCATTTTGACTGACCCAAAGTAATCCCCAGATAGCGAACCTCAGATCTGTGGTCTGTTCCCAGCTTTTCTACTTTCTACCCACTGTGGTTGTGTGACTTTTCATGAGCCACTTAACCAATCTGAGCCTCAGTTAAAGCATCTTATGTGTAACATGTGGAGGTATGATGAGATGGCCTCTAAAATCCCTTCAAACTCTAAAATGATGTAATTATATGGTATTTTTGGTGACGAGGATGATTCTGAGAAGTTAGGTTAACATTTGATTGGCCAGGGCCAGAATTAGCCTAGAATTCAAGAGCAGTGATCTCAAAACTTTTTTTAATTTACACACCCCTATCAGTAAAAAATGTTTGCACACAAATCTCAAATATGTAAATTTTTACTTATTTGCAAATATGAGCATATGCTTTTATACAGACATATACACTGTAAAAATTCACACAAAATGAAATTTTAAAAAATAGAAAAAGATTAAGTAGCATTTGTTCCTAGAGTCAATAGGAAAGCACTGGAGATGATAGAGTAGAGAAGTGACATAGTCAGACTGTGCTTTAGGAAAATCACTTTGGCAGCTGTGTAGACAATGGATTGAAAGGAAGAGAGATTCGAAGCCAAATAGTAGTGTAGACAAGAAGTAACAATAGCCAGAACTTCAGTGGTGACTCTGTGAACAGAGTGAAGGGAGGATTTAGGAAAAAGGTGTGGGTGTAAATCTAATAAGACTTGGCAACTGGATACCACGGGGTGATGGCCCGTTAGGAGTTGAAGATCACCTTGAGGTTGTGAGAACCTGGGAGATTGGGAGACTGGTGATAACCTTGATAGTAATAGAGAATTTTGGAAGGGGAATGGTTTTAGGGGGAAAGATAACGTAATGAGTTCTGAAGTTCAGGTCCCAGTCTTTTTATACCTGCTCATATTAAACGATTCCCTTCATCCTATTCAAAATGAAAAGGCTGGAGACTGGGCTCTTACTCACCATTCACTGCCCCTGAGTGCGGACTTGGGTCTCTGAGGGGCACCTGCTGCAGCCATGAGCTGATCTAGGATAAGAAGTTAGGGGCAGAATCCTTCCGGTGATACCTGTGTTGCTGCTGGAGTGGGTGCCTAGGAGGCTTGAGACATTGACCCCTAGTTCAGAGGGAGAAAGATGGGAAACTTGGGAAACTTGAATGTATATAGTGAAGAGTAAGGCAGTGTTGTAGTATAAGGGTAGGATGTTGCCTGTGGCCACAAGAGTGGGATGCTGGCAATGAAGGTAGAATGCTACCTGTCTTCTCACTCTCTTATTAGTTCATCACACACCACCTGGGGTCAGTACATGAATAGGGATACAAAGGAAGGTGGAAGACAGTCCCTACTCCCAAGGAGATAAACGTTTAATGGGGAGATAACATGCAAATACCTATGTACAAACAAGTTATACAGAATAAATTGGAAGTAATCAATAGAGCGAAGACACTAGGATTGAGGGAGATCAGAAAAGGTTTTTTGTAGAAGGTAGATTAGCCTATATCCATTTATTTGCCTTCTCAGTGAGGGGGAGGGGAAAGAGGAAAAGAATTTTGGAACTCAAAATTTAAAAAATGAATATTGAAAATTGTTTTTACATGTAATTTGGGGAAAAAATAAAATAATAAAGAAAAAAAAGTTAAGTTAGCTATAAACAGACCAACCTCAGGGATGCGGTTTGTTCAGACGTCACTCTGGACTCTTTATCTGGTTCTTTGTGACCTTTTTCTAGTCCCTTATTTTCTGATATTTTCCTTGTTTTGTATAAAAGTATGGTATAATGGGATGAGTCTAACTCTAGATGTGGGTTCAAGTGTTTGCTCTACCATTTAGTACCTCTGTGACATACCTTTTAATCTCTGAGCCTCAATTTCCTCATCTATAAAATGGAAAAATGATATTTGCCTACAAGGGGCTGTTGACATTTGGCTATCAGAGAGTTTAGCAACCTCTCTCATGAGGCGCACTCATGAGAAAATGACTGAGAGTGTTGTCGAGGACACAGTTACTGTAACATTGTAATAAAAATTCATCAAATCCTTCAGTGTCGTCTGTGTCCAAGACCTCAGGTGGTTCACTGTACAGTCTAGAACAAGACTTAACCTGGGATTGTAAACAACACAGGTGGAACACTTAGGGAAAACCAACCAGGAGCAACAGATCCCATAGTCAACCTGCTCCACCATAGAGGAGTTTTATCTGACTCACTCTCATTCCCTCCTTAGCAGAGAACCAGGAGTCCAGTAGCAATAGAAAGGGTCAGCAGAACAAAATCAGCTAGAAAGTTCTACTTCTCTCTGTCTGTCTGCTGCCTGTAGACAACATCAGAGCAGATGAGGGACTGGTATACTGAGCACAACTCTGCTTTGCTGACTTCGGATCACAGCTCATA